AAATAAATAATAAAATTAAGATAGATTAAAAGACTCCTCCACAGTAATGGCACCCTGCATGGGTCTGATATTTGTCAGAGAGTGGTCTCCGGCTGGAGGTACAGCCAACACTAGCGATGGAGCATCACATCCTGGGAGTGTGCTGCAGCCCATGAAAACAGCTTCACCATGTGGGCCAGAAGAGCAGGTGCACAGCAGTGCATTATCCATGAGGGTGAGTTTCAAATCATTCATTTAATGGAAATTAGTAGTAAGAATATAGGCTTTGGAAATGGATGATCCTGCTTCTAGATTCGAATGCTGCTATATGCTAGTTACATATAAAACTCCAAACAGATTACTTTCTTATTGTCTGTTTCCTCCTGCAGCAATTAAGACCAAATTTAGGTGGGGCAGAGGGAGCCTTGGACAATGGGAAAAGGTACACCACTAGGATGAAAGAGGCTTGCCCTCACTTAGGTTATTACTGCATTAGCTTAGCTCTACAGTCTAGCAATTTGCAATCTCTGAGCTACTTTCTTCTGTAAAATGTGGGTGGTACCACTAACTGAGGGGGTTACTGTAAGAATTTGAGATAATATGATAGGGACCTCATGCAGCCAGCTGTACAACAGAAATGTACCACATTAAATAACACAATGCTTGCCAAGAAATACGGCCACATCACTTTTTTTTCAACTTGGACTCCATCATAATGTCACTAGTGACTATAACTTCAAAATACTATAGACTATTAAAAAATCATGACGGCTGGGCATAATCCTGGCACTTGGGAGGCTGAGGCAGGATGCTTGCCACAAGTTTGAGGCTAACCTGGGCTATTCAGAGAGACTATGTTTCAAAAAACAAAAAAATCATGACAATAATTTGGACCTTGGGCATTAAAAATATTTCCTTGTATTGTGTTTTTAGAGAAAAATTTCATGTAAATGGGCAAATCATTTATTTCTTACAGCTTTTTTTTTTTATTTTTAGGGATGGGTCTACAGGGTGTTTGGGGTCTCACTACTAGATCAGACTCGTAGTGACCTGCCTGTGTATAGCCTCCCAAGAGCTGGGATTACAGGAGTGCACCACCACGCCTAGCCAGTACAGCAGGCTGGGGGATCGAACCCCTGGCCCCTGCACCTGCTTGCAGGTGCTTTATTTCTTATAGTTCTTAATGCATTTTTTCACTAAACGTATTTGCTTTAAAAACACACTCCATTAAAGTGCATAACTGATTTGGAAAATAAAAAAAAAAAAGACTAGTGCCATTAACAAAGGCTTTCATAGTTTCACTGACAAGATTACATATGCTTGCTATCTTTGATGCAATCCTTAGGCTAGTGGACCCTAATGATCTATGCTATGAACCACAGAAAATACCTATTTCTGGAATTCTACTCTTCAGCTTCCCCTTGAAGAAAACAAACTGACCCTTAAATTAAAAAATCAGGGTGACACCTTTGGCCTTCCTTATTTAAACTAGCCACAAAAAATTCAAGTAACGGACCTTAGAGCTTTAGACATCCAATCTGTTATCTCTGTCCTTACATGCAACATGGCTTATGAATCTGAGCAAATTCTGTGAAGTTCGAATTATATTCTGGGCTTACCATCTTCCTACAAATCACTAGAAAGCAGTGAGAATGTACCCAGGCCACCACTAAGGTACTGGTGGTTCTGCAGTGTGCCAGCCACGAAGGGCACCATCCATTCAGCCCTGTCCTGCAGACCTCACTCCGGCCACCTCCCCTCGCTTTAGCAAACCAGCATGCATCTTTTGAGAAACCTAACCCTTGCTGAAGGACTGCAGCCTTGTGAAGAAAGTGACTAATAGGTGAGTGACTTCCTGTACTTACCGCCCGACCAAGGCTGCACTAAATAGGCCAATTCAAGCTTCCCAGGCTGAAGCCGGCCTTCCCACAAAGCCCGATCGGTGATTGGTTGTTGTTGTTTTTACTTTCAGGAGGATGAGAACCTGAATATGTCTGACTGGTTTGCTGGGAGTTTAAAAACGCTTTGGAATTTGCTACCCGGGAAGTTTGGCCCGCACCCTCGGAAACGTCCGCAGCGCGCGGTGCACCTGGAGGTTAGAGAAACTGGACTCAGACGCCCGGCAGGCGTGGGGATTGCGGGGAAGACTTGCCGGGCAGGGAAGAGGCATCAGCGGCTCCGCGCACATCCTCAGGCTCCAGAGTTGCTAACTCTTCCCTGCCCACCTCTTGCTGGAAAGCAGCTGGAGAGAGGAAGATCGGCGAGGCTCGCTTTGGGATGCAGGCAGCGCTGCTGGCCTCGCCCGCCGGCCTAGACACCTGGCTGGGGGCCCGCGGCGCCGGCGAGCCCCTCTCCCCGGACCTGCAGGTGAGCGGACAATGCCCCTCGCTCCTCGCAAGACCTCAAATTCCTCTCCTTCCCCGAAAGCGCTAACTTCAGGGCTCCGGGGTGGCAAGGGGCGCGCAGACCGGGAAAGGGCCGGCCCCGGGGGCGCAGGGATTCCCAGGGCAGCGGAGGGCGGCAGCGCGGGCGGCAGAGCCCGCGCAGTCTCCGCCTGGCCCCTCCCGGCTGCAGAACCGCGGGACGCGGGGAGCCGCGAGCGGGCGGAGGTCGGGGCCGGCGGGGCCAGGGGGCTCCGGGGCCGGACGGGCGAGCGCACGGCTCTGCCCCAGAGCCCGGAGCGGAGGCGCGGGCGAGGCGGGGTGCCGCCCGCAGACGAGCACGGGCCCGCGCGGCACCTCCCTCCCCATCCCTCTGTCCCTCCCGTCCCGCCCTTACCTTGCCGCGAGGGCCCCGGCGGGAGAAGCTGCCGGGAGCGGCGAGCACCTCGGGCGGGCTCAGCGGTGGCCGGGGACGGCGGAGTCGCCGCTCATGGCCGGTCGCGCCCGGAGCCCTGCGGCCGCGGCCACGGCGGCGGCTTCCTCCTCGGCGGGACGCAGCTCAC